CAAGATACATGATACAGGATGGGGAATGTGGCTCAGTGGTAGAGTTCTTGCCTTGCATCCCAAGGCCCTGGTTTCGATCCTCAGCACCACAAAAATAAAATCAAACTAAACCAAATCAAAACAAAATGAAACAAAAGATACCTGATGCTCATGAGTCAGAAGTAAACATAACCAAAAGGAGTCTCATTGAAATGTTCAGTATCCTGCTAAATGAAAATATGTTTAAAGATTCCTTGACCCTTCAGACTCACCTTCCTCTTTCTTGACCCTGAATGCAAGGCAGCTTCCCTCTTTACAGAATCAGAAATGCCAGTCCACCAGGGACCCCAAGTACCACTCTGTCCTATAATTTCTGATGCTTCAAGAACTCTCTGAACACTGAGCCTCATCCTACACTGTCAGAGAGCAAATGATCAAGAATCAGTCTGCGTAAGGACATTCTGCAACTTGAGCACCACATGGCAGCATTATGATCAGGAAATTATACCATTATAATCAAGATCACAATCAAGCATTATAATCAAGATCAAAGGCAAGAAGGATTTAACATTAGGAATTGCATTTGAAGGCAGTTGTCAGCTGGAAGGCACAGACACCTTTCTGCCCATCCCTTGTGCCTTCATCATCACCTCTACCTTGGGCCCCTTCTCTCTCTGTACATGTGCCTTACTTGATGGAATCTTTTTCCCAAGGTCTGCTGGTCAGCCCTGTCCTCACTGCCCTTGCTGATTGTTGATCTCAGCAGAACTCCCAGATTATCACAAGTCCTAGGCCGATAAATGTGGCAGACATACTACACTGGATGTCCAAAACTCAGTGACTTCTTTGCTTACAGAAACTGGAATACAAAGCTAAACAACATGTATGAAGCAGGGCGTGGTAATATGTTTTACACAATTAGATTTAAGCATGCATCACTAGCAAGGTTTCCCCAATGACATTTAAAATTCACTTGCTTTCATCTCTCCTATTTTTTTCCTTTCTTTAACACTGAGACAATCTCTGGAGCCACAAAACCCATCTTGTAATAAGGACAAATGGCACCAAGTAAAAGAATGACACAGCCAGAGGACAGAAGGAACTCAGTGTATCAAATCTTCAGGCTGACCTATCCATTCTACCCTGAAAATCCCCAAGTTTTTACTGCTTGAAACAACTATCTACTTAATTCCTTGTCACCCAGCATCAGGTTAACTAACCACAACGATTAGGATCACCTAGAAATTGGTTAGAAATGAAGAAGCTCAAGTCCCTCCCTAGACTTAATTGTAATCTAATTTTAACAAGATTCCCAGATGATCTTCCAGCCCATTAAGTTTGTGAGGCAATCATGTGAGTTACTTTAATTGCAGCAATTTATGGTACTGTGACAATGTAAATAACAGAACCGGGCACATACAAATGGTCAGTTAAAATGGTAACCTTTGTTATGTATAGTTTACTACAATTTTTTAAACAGTAAAATATTATTTCCTTAGGAAAAAAAATTGCTCTTCTGTGGAACTATGGACAAAAAAGCTAAACTACTAGACAAGCAGAGTGGCACATCTCTAAAATCCCAGAACCCTGGGAGGCTGAAACAGAAAAAGCCCAAGCTTAAGCCCAGCCTGGGTAATTTAGCAAGGTAGCAGAATGTTGCCTCAAATTAGAAACTAAGGAAAGAACTAAAGGTGTAGCTTAGTGCAAATGCCCTGGACTCAATTCTTTGTAACACACACACACACACACACACACACACACACACACACACACAGCTGAACAATATGTTGCATTAACCACTAGAACTGCAAGCTAGAATTGTACTAGCTCTGAATATGTGAAGTGTGAAAAAAAGTTATGTGTGTGTACATTCAGGTAGAGCATCCTTAATCCAAAATGTTCTCAAATCTGAAATTTCTGAGTTCCACAAGAACACCACAAGTAGAAACTTGTTTTGTGCACAAAAGTACAAAAATTAAAATATAAAATTATTTTCAAGCTATGTTTGTGAGGCATGTATGAAACATAAATGAATTTCACGTTTAGATTCGGGTTCCCTCCCAAAGAAATATCACTATAGGTATGCAAATATTCCAAAAAAAACCCAAATCTGAACCCAATGTGCTTTTGGTTTGAAGTTTTAGATAAGGGATACTCAATCTGTATTTAAGAAAGTGGCCAGGGAAAATGATTGTAGGAAAGTAGACCTCACAAAAGAAACCAAGAAAAAAAAAAGATGTAAACCCTCTTAAGGGTTAAAGAGCTGTGAGAGCAAGGAAAACACTCAAGTCACAGCTGTGCTGTAAGAACATGATCTGGAAGGAATATAAAATTACTTGATTCGTGAGAAGGCAGCCCCAAAAATGTGGGAGCCAGTGTGTGTAGTGCAATGCTGGGGACTTAAAATTGAAAGTAATTTATATTGTATGGATAATGTTCCTAACTGTGGACTGATTATCTATAGCAGAATGTTGAGATGAGAAGACAATACCACAGCATCTGTTCCCAAACATTAAACACTGTCATTATAAGTTGCCCTTCCTATCAGTGGTTTGTGAGAGCTTAGAAAACTTTTCCAATATACATCTAAAATAATATACATTAATCTCACATATCATATGCATTGCTCTCTTTCAACATCAGACGCTCCAGGATACTTAAAGAATGATTTGACTTCAAGAGAAGTCAAATATTAACTAGAAGTGATCATTTTAATTACCTAAAAATGGCCAATCAGCCATGTGTTGAAAAGATTTCAAATCAGTTTAATGCATTAAAATAACTAGTAAAACTAATATTGAACTTTATAATATTTCAAGTGTCAAATAGACGGTCTATAATCAGAATAACTATCTCCATATAAAGTAATTTAAGAGCCACAAAGTGACCATATTAAGTCCTTATCATTTTATCCCTAGAACTGATGAAGGAAACTATGTATTATATAAATGACATAAATTGTCACTTTCAAGTAAAAATGCTCATTAGTGAGCCAAAACCAAATCAAATTAAAAAGAAAAAAGAAAAATCAAGGAATTACTAAAATTTTACTTTATGCACATATAATATACTTTTTAAGGGATAGGAAAAGTGCACGATTTAAACTAATAATTCCAGTTGATATTCAAAAGATAGTACTAAAGTACTGGGCATACTCAACAGTTTACAAAAACCTTTTGGAAAAAATGGGTAAAGTCTAACAAGAAATGGATAATCCTATTGTCTAATATGTTTGCTAATGCTTTTTATTACTACATAGTCAAAACCTATGAAGAATTAAGAACAAATGACATGTGCTATTTCCCTTTTTGCTATAAAACCAAACATGGATATCCAAACAAGACCAGCAAAAGGAGGAATTGCTGTCAAAAAATACATGAAGAGTTGGGCATCATTTTTATTTTAAGAAGTGAAAAACTATATGGTCTAGTGAATTAAACAACAGAGAAAATGTCTAGAGCAATGAAAATCAACAGCAGGCAGTTCTTAATGGCATAGTTGGTTTCCCCATGTATAAAGCTCAGGACACTCGTACTGCTGTTTGTGTTAGGTAATTAACAGCCATAAAGCTCAGTGAAAACAGAAACTGCTAAATAAATAATGACTGCTAAAGAATGTCACCATAATGTGCTAAATAATAATGATGAAACATGGTCTTCTAACTTTGCCATTTTTGTTTTCAAATTAATAATGCAAACAAGTTTCCAACCTCATCAACACGGCTAGTGTTAGTGAGTGAGATAAATCTAGTGATTTGAAATCACAGAAGGGATCTTGTGTCTTCAATAGCAGTGCATTCAACCCTATGTACAGCAATGAAAATGACATCATGTTTTATTCCTGTAGTAGGAGAAATAGCAACACTCTGTGTCTACCTTTGGCTTAATTCCAAATAGCAGTATTCCACTTTAAAATACACTAAACAATAAACTTTTTGAGAATTTCCATTGATTTCCAATTGACGTTGACACCCTAAGCCTTAGTAATGTTTTATTTCCTTGGAACTGACAACACAATAACATTTAAAATGACTATTTCAACATTTTCCAATACTAGATTACAATATTTATGAGACTGTGAAACCATCTAAGAACTTTCCATACATTTTTAGCCTTGCTTACAGGGGAAATAGGATGAAAAGATATTGGCATCAAAGATACTGAGTTTTCGTCTAAACTTTCTATCCCAATAGCAGTATGAATACCGGTGGATCATAAAATTTAAACTATGCAACCAGAAGGGGTAGCAAGATTTTACTGCTCAATCTATTTTTTTATTTTGTTGCATGTACATTTACAAAAACCACCAAGCTCTGTGAAATCATTACAAAAATAATTATAAATGTGGAAGAGATGAGAAAACATTAAAGATTAAGTGTGTTATTTCTCAGAGAAAACATACCATCTATAAAATAGCCTTCTACCTAAACACAAAGGTTGATGAAGGTTCTGTACATAAAATTCATTGTTCTGTGAATTTTCTGTACACTTGTAAATTAACTGTAGAATAATTTTTTATATGTTCATCATAGAATAGTTTTAATGTTACTGAAGAAACCAGTCTAAATCTTGTTTATTATCTATTTGGGGAGAAAGTCACTCCAGTCAATATTTTGAAGAAAAATTAAACATCTACATCAGAAACCAAAGTTAAGAGTATTATTCATATTAAAATGCAAATACATGCAAAATCATCAAAAATGATTTTATTCTCCTAATAATCAAGACCTCATACACCATTTGTAGTGACTCATTAATCTAATCGTGACATTAGCTTTTACAATCATAGATGTAAAAAGCCCACTGTGTTCCAAACATAATTATCTCACCAGCATCTCATTTTATGAAATTATTAGTTAAGATGAGCAGCTCTGAATGAATTTATATTTGATTAGTTTCGCTTATTTAAGAACACTGAATAATTTAAAAGTTTTTTAAATACAAGAAAGGGACTTGTGTGAGTGCTAATTCTCGTGCATTCCTTGCCATCTCCAGATGTACCCTGTGTTCTCAAAAACATACCTTCCAAATGCAGCCACATCAGCCGCCCCTTCACACTGACCACAGAGGCCACACAGAGTTCTCCTGGGTTCCGGGGATTCACAGCTTCAAGTTTCATGTTCTTAGTGAAGCCCCGACTGAATGATGTCTGGAAGGGAAAGAAAAGGGATGCTAAGCTGGTAGCTCCTATGGCAGGATTATACAATGGGATAACAGAGCCAGCAGACATAGAACCATGCACACACAGCACACATATCTCACTTATGAGGCACACAGTCTTGGCTACACAACTGTCCTTCCCACCAGTCACAAGGAAGTAATCATGGAGTTAGGGAAATTATGGAACCATGAAGTTAACATTCTTCTATTCCAGTAATTACTTATGCTTGGCATATCATGGATGCCTAATGAAAACTGGTAAATAAATGAAGGTTTGAATAAAGTCTCTTTCCAGCTCTATAGGCATGCTTATGTCTATGAAATTACTGATGGATGCATCGTTTCTTCTACTCCCCTCTATTCCCTGATAAAATCATACTAAGGTGTACCTGAGGGCAATGACATGGAAGATGGTGTATCTATCTGGCAACATTTTCTTTTAAAGGGCATTTGAAGAATGTGCTTCAGTATTTCTTATAGTACCCATCTGCTGGTGATGAATTTCTTCAGTTTTCTCTTATCTGAAAGTATCTTTGTTTGTTCTTTTTCTTTATTTTTATTTACTTTCAAAATTAACATAACATTTTACACACAGTGTGATTCATTCTTTTGGGTGTCTTGTTCTGGGAAAACAGGACTGTTAAACTAGTGCATATAGTCATGCACCCATAAACACAATCAACACACTGAACAGTTTCTTCACCGAAAACATCCTTGCATTTTGGTCCTTTTCTAATCAATTCCTCCTTGTCACGCAATTGTAAACAACCACTAGTTGGGCTTTTCTTGTTATTCCTATGCTTTTGCCTTTTTACTCTAAAGTGTCATTTAATTGGAATCAATATATAGAGCCTTTTCAGCTGGGCTCCTTTTATTTAGCAAAAATGTATTTAAGATTCACCTATGCTATGCTATGCAAGCATGTTGTTTTATTTCATTGCCTAGTAGAGTTCATATAGCTGTACCACAATGGATCCATTTGCCAGTTAAAGAGTATCTGAACCATTTTCAGTATTTGGCGGCTATGAATATAGCTGCTATAAATATTCAGGTACAAATTTTTGTGGAAACAGAAACATATTAACCTATACAGGCTGTCAAGTAAAATATTATAGACTAGTGGTTTAAACAGCAGAAATTTATTTTCTTATAGTCCTGTAGGTCCAAAATCAGGGTATTAACGGGTTTGTTCTTACTAAGCCTCTCTCCCTGGCTTGCAGAGAGCTGTCTACTCCCAGTGGTCTTCCATGGCCTCTTCCTTCACTGTGCACATGTGCAATAATTTCCTCTGCTTATCAGGACACCAGTCATACTGGATAAAGCAACCCATATTATCTCTTTTTTACCTTAATTACCTCTAAAGATCCTACTTCCAGATACAATCTCATTGAAGTACTGGGGGGTTGAAATTTGATCATATCAATGAGCAAAACGCATTCAACACCTACTATTAAGTTTTCACTTCTTTAGAAATGGGATTGTTCGAACATATGGTAAAAGAAGGTTTAACCTGCCTAGAAATTCATATTATTTTCCAGACTGCCTATGTAATTTTGCATTCCCACCAGAAGTATGCCAGTGTTCCAGGCACTACGAATCCTTATCAACATTTTGTGTTGCCAGTTGTCAAAACTTAGCCTAATATCAATCTAGTGGAATGTCACTGTGGTTTTAATGTGCAGTTCCCTATTAATGATCCTAAGCATTTTTCTTTGTGTTTGTTTCTCTCTTTCTCTTTCTCTCCCGCTCTCATATATATATATATATATATAAACTTTTTTAATGACAAGGTCTTGCTATGTAGTTCAGGCTGACCTTCAATTCATACTATGTAGCCCAGGCTAGTCTCAAACTTGACAGTGATCCCCCTGCCTCAGTTTCCTAAGTGCTGAGATTATAAGTATGTGCCACCATGTCTGACCCTTTTATTTGTATGCAGTCACCTCTTCTGGTTCTTCAATTATACACGATGTTGTCCCTCAGATTGCTGAGTTTTCATTTGTCTTTTTCTCCCATTGCCAATCTTATTTTCTTTGCTATTCTCATTCTACTCTAATGAATCTAAATTTGTTTATTTCAGAAATTGCATTTCTCAAGTATAGTTTCTACTTCTTGTCTCGGACTTCCTGTACTTTCATTCATAATGAGGATATTTTCCTTTAAATACATAATTTTCAAACTCTACGTCATATCAGAATCCCTTTAAGAGCCTATTAAAAAGCAGACTGCTGGGCCTTATTCCAGTTTCTGATCCAGCTGATTACGGGTGCAGCTGAAGAACGTGCATTTCCAGTAAGTACTGAGGTAATGCTGATACAGGGGACACCTGTTGAAAACCGATGCTTTCCATCATTTAGCTTAGCTGTAACTAGACTAGGGATATAGCTCACTGTGAAGGCCCTGGGTTCAATCTTTAGTATGTGGGTGTGGGGATTGGAGGGAGGAGACCTGTTAACAACACCTAGATCATTCTGATTTTGGTCTTTTATGTGCCTTTCCTTTTGAGAAATTAATCTGATTTTCTAGTTTCTTCATGTCTTAAGCAATTCTGGATTAGAACATGTCTATTATAAACGTTATGATGTAGAGACTTTGGATAGTGACACTCCTGCCAATGGTATCAATTTTTTTATTTTAGCAAGCAATTAACTCGGCTGGATGCAACTCACATTGCAACCCTATTCTTTTATCTTTACCTAGGCTCTTAGAATCTCCCTGGTATACACACATTCAAAGATGAGCCAAAGATATAATAACACAGGATCTGTGGGTTCCTTGTCCTGGCTCTACAATATCCAAAACTCCAAATATCTGTGGTATCTCATATTCCATAACCCGGCTTAAGAAGGCCGAAATATATGAGTTTTGTATCACATTTTGTCATCTTATGTGCTGTCTGAAAAAAAAAGATAAATACTCTATGCTGCTCTTCCTTTCAATGATTTGCCTCTGCCTAAGGGACCTTCTTTAAATTCAATGTTCTCTACACCCATGCAGGTGCTTTTAGCACTGTGTCTATAAGGTATTATCTCTAGTTAGGTCAGTTTCAGTACAAGATTACTCAGCCAATACTGAAAGCAAAACTCCCTCCTAACATTATTTAACAATAAATATGAAAATTTCCCAATAGTCAACTACTACAAACTATAATCACATGTTATACTACTATATACACGTATGTTTTGAGATATGTTAACTAATATAAATAAGTTCCTATAAGTAATAAAGACTACATCTTTTTGTGACTCATGAAAAGAAATCAAGGTAATTCATATTTACATGTCTTTTTATAAACCAAGTTGAAAAAAGCAATCATATCTTTATGCAATCAGAAATTATTCATGTTTAAAAAATCAATTTGCTCCTTTCCTTTAAGTTTCTTTGGAAGCAGGAACCACAGATACTCTAGACGGGCTATTTTTTTTTTTTTTTCTGCAAATCATCCTTTCTCATCCACATGTGTAATGCACTTAGCTTCCTTCAAATAACACAACTTGATAGGCTGTTTGAAAAACCTCTAAGTGAGTTAAATGCATTTTATCCTATTTAATAATGGAAAGCTACAACCATGTAACTTATTTTCATCTCAACTCACTGCTTGAGGGTAATTTATAAAAGATAAATAGCAAAAATTGTTACCTGTAGGTTTATTTTACTAAGCATTTGGCTGTGTGGATCCATTGCATAACTGCCTTTGATTGTTAAACATCCCTGGGGAAATGTCTTCCATGCATCCAGTGCCACACTAACTCTCTTCTCATACACATGAGATGTGCGATTAAAAAATGAATTCATAATAAGCCTCCCATTAAAGAGCACTCATAGCAAGCTAACAAATTCAGCAAAGTACCTGCAATGCAATGCATATGCCAAAAGGCAGACAACAATCTTGTCTGTTAAAAAAAGTGGAGAGCCAGAAACAAAGGTATTCCTAATGAATGCACCAGCAAATTCATTAAAACAGATTTATCTCAGTAGCTAAATCCTGAAAGTTCAGAAGCCAACTGGAGATGCGGCTACATTTAAAAGCCATTTAAACAATTCTTGGTTTGTTGAGAGCAAAAGTAGATAAAAAGCCTTAGAAGCACTCACAGAAGAAATAATCCCTGAATACATACTCAGGCATGATGTGAAAATTTTCTTCCCCAGGTTAAAGAGTTGGGGGAGGAATATTTCTCTTCTCAGGTAGAAAGCACAATCTCAAACAGATTTGGGGGTGTTACAGGGGGTTCCGGTAGATGTGAATTAAGAGTCTCACACAGTGACATCACTATGGTGAAAAATCAAGTAAGGAGTTGTTGGACTTAACATGCCAAAGGGCTTACCACCTGCTATATTGTGAAGCATGGGAACACAGCTGTGCCTGCTGTACCAGCTAAGTACACATCCTCTACTTCTCCAATGCTACAGAAGTGCCTTCTGTGCAAAGGCAATGCCATCCAGTGGAAAGGTCACTTAGTTACCAAAGAAGCTCTGATTTCAAACTCTGCCGCTGACTTCCTTCCTTACGTGTAAGTAAAAGCTGACTTGGTGGGGGCTGGGGATTTAGCTCAGCGGCATAAGCACCTGCCTAGCAAGCAGGCAGTCGTGAGTTCGAACCCTGGTACCGATAAAAAGGAAAAAGACAGAAAAAAAATGGCTGACTTGGTGATCGATGTACTTACTATTGCAAAGTCTGATTTTGACTTATGCTCTGCCTAGTGCTTCTAATAAGCCAACATTTTCCCCTGTTATTTTCTGTATTCTGTTATCCTTGCAGCACAAATTACTATACAGGTGACAATGAACCTATACCTCCAGAAGCACATGTTCAGAAACATGTCTTAGACTCAGCTGTGTTTTGCTCCAATTATGAGGACTGTACCTTTTATTTCTTAGCATAAGGGATTAACTTTCAAAACTAAAGGTATGCCAAGTATGCTAGGCTATGGATTTATGCTCCATTTTAAAAATTTCATATTCTTTGTCATAATTCCTAAGGATAAGGAGGAGTAAACAATTCTAAAAACCGCTTTATGAAACCACCTTTACAACTATGAAATACTATATACATATTCATTGCTAATCTATGTCACAAGTCTTTTTGTGCCAAAAAGTTCCCTTTGAATAAGGCAGCCGCTTGTAGAAATCAAAGCACAAAACTTTTAATAGCATCTCATTGGTACTTAATTAAATAATCAAAGAAAAATACTATTTTTTAATAACTTGTCAATATTATACCACATAAATGTATGTGTAATGAAGTTATAGATGGCTAGCTGCCCACCAAAATTTGTCTTCTTTTTCCACAGTACAAAATCATGGTTAGAGAACAGAAGTCAAGATCCAATTCTTTTTTCACTTCTTTTCTTTTTAATGGGGATTGAACTCAGAGCCTTTACACTGATCTGTATCCCTAGACCTTTCTACTTCTTTTAAATTTTGAGACAAGGTCTCATTAAGTTACTAGGCTGAGTTCAAACTTGATGATCCCTCTGCCTCAGCCTCTCGCAGTACAAGGAAGTCCAGGTGTGTGCCACTGCACTTGGCAAGATCCTTTTCTTTACCTCATTTATAGCAGCTGAGAGACTAATTTTTACCAATGGAAAATAAGAGAAATGTTTTGCCACCATGCTGTGCATTTAGAACTACGGATATCACCTTCTTAATCTTTTTTTCTGATCTACTGACTGGATTCAAGTGATGAATTTAACCAAAGACTCACCCTGATGAGGGCTACCCACTAGTCAGAAACACCCTGGACTCTTACAGAAATGAGAAATAAATGCTGGACTATTGTACATTTACTGATCACTGTTACTATGGCTCAGCATTACTCTAACAAATCCATAACCTGAAAAGTGGACTTTTCAAAACATATGACTGTTTTGTAACCTACAGGGCATGGTAATACTTCAAATTTGGCCAATAAGTAGAAAGCAACTTAGAAAATGTACAGTTAACAACATCTATGATTTTAAAAAGTAAAAGAGGGAAGTTTCTCACATTTCTGAAGCAGAAGGGAGGTGCTTCTTCTGCCCCATGCTGCTTATAATAATCCGCCCAGTCGAAGTCTTGACCAGAGTACCCTGTGAATGACAAAATCCAGACAGGACAGCATTAGACCTAAATTACAGGCAAATGATTAAGTTGTATATTGGTGATTAAAGTAGAGGTACAAGTCCAGGCCCAGGAAGCATTAAGTCCTCCAAAGTCTAGTTACACATCTTGTTTCATGTAGTCATTACAATGTAATATCTGGCATCAAGGGAGGAAAAGAGAAACTTACCTACCTGTACGGCAGCTCCTGCCAGCAGGATTTTGTTACTGGGGACAAGAACTGAGAGAGACTATGGCATAGAATGCATTTATAGGATCCATTTTGCAGAAACAGACAATGATGCTTCCCTTCATAAAAATTCTGAGCTCAAAGGAAAATAAGTTTTGGTATCTTCAAAGAAATGATGGGAATTTATTAGGAACAAAAAACTCAGTAGGGGTTGATTTTTGATGGAGCAGAGGACACACAAGGAGCAGGGGTTTGGGAGATAAAGCCCCAAAGAATGAGTTAGATGAAGTAAAGGTTGCCACAGAACCAGACTGGTGAGGGGAAAGAGGAGGACGTTAGGAAAGAAGAGCTTCTCCATGGTAAAGTTTTGGAGGTGAACTGGAGAGTCTGAAAGAAGCGTTTGAGAAACAACTGTACACTAATGCATGGAATTAAATACAGATCCTGCCATGTGTGTGTTTGGTTTCTTTTTAATGATTTCACTTCAGTGGGAGAAAATGGAATGTAACTATGTAACATACAGCCATCACAACCACCACAGCAAGACACCAGAGGAAACACACTAAGATAGTTCTGAATCATAAGAAAAGTTTAAGTGCATAGATGATGCCTCGACACTGGAGTCATCTGTGCAAAGTTAAACCAATGAATGGATATGCCATGGAAAAAGATGTTTTTAAATTTTCTTATTAATAAAGATGGAAAATCTACATACAGCCCAGTTAAGGTTAACTCCAATATGCCCAAATGTCGCTGTGAACACACTAATGTGTTCTCTTTATTGATTGAAGTAAATGTAAAATAAATCTGAGAGACTTCTGAAATACATTTTGACCCAAGTCCCCCAACTTTTCTTTACACACTACTGTAAATTCACGTTAACATGAGGACACTGAGTTACTAAAGTCTACACATGCAAAACAACTATGGAAATTCTTTTTAAAATTCAAGCTACGTTTAACTGACACATAAAACATAAAAATTTAACACATTAATGGGGTAATGTGATGTACTGATAGATATGGTATAATGTTTAAGCCAGGTTAAATGTCTTATCTCCTTAAACATTTATCATTTCTTTATGGCATTATCTTTTAAAGTTGTTCTAGACTTTTAAAATGTGTAGTGCATTACTGTTATCTATAGTCACCGTACCGTGCAACAGCACCACAGAACTTCTTGCTCTTAGTAAATCTTTCCCTCCTACCTCCCGAAACATTCTTCATTCAAGAAACTCAAGATGGTGATTGCTTCCTACCTCTATGTGTTCACCCAAGCACAAGCATACAAGTATAATTTTCATTCAGTCAGCACATGATACCCTCTATTTTTGGACAGAATGGACATCCCTAACCAAGCAAGTAGTTGTCCTCCTCTGCTGTCAGAAACTGACCTGTGACCCTCCCATACCCTGCTGACCATGAGCAGCAAAGAGTGCCCCTTTCTTTGATAAAACATCTTCTTCATTATCTGAAGACTGATAACTCACTTCTTTCCACCAATGAGAGCTCCGAGTTTCAGATATCACATAATTTATAGGGCTAATTTCAAAGCAATTCTTCAAGCTTCTCTACCTGCCCATCCCCAGAACTGTCCCTCTGCTACATGGCTCTTGTATTAGAGGTTTACGGAAGGGAATGAAATAACTGACTGTTGAGCCCTGTAAACAAAACAAAGCACGTCTCAGAAAGGTAACAATTTCACTTGCTTTCCAATTAATATAGTCTTGCACTTTGCATGGATTTGCTCTGGAACTGTGCAGGAGTTCCAGAGTATGTTTGAGTATGAAAAGAAAAGGATGAGCATCAAGACACCTCACTCTGGTCAGGAGTCTCCTACCTGGGTACACTGCACTAAATGGGAAAGGTGCAGGTCCAGGTTTTACATCCAGCTCTGCAGGTTAACTGGAGGGACTGCAGTAAAAACTAATCAAAATTTATACCTGACTTTGCTCATCTACAAACCCACAAAATAAAGAGAATAGTTTTAAGGTCCACCATTCGAGCCATCATTCTGATTATTTCACTATTGCTATGCATGATTTTCTTTCCACCTCTCTGTGGTTAATTCTCCTTCCTTCTCTCAAGAGAAAAGTGTAAGAGGACTACACAGAGTGGTCACGCACCATGGCCTCCCTAGAAAACTTCACGACACAAGCCCTGAAACAAGACCAGGTAAATCCCCACAACCCCAGGATCTTACTTGTTCGGGCTTTAGCAGACTGACTTGGATGAAGTCAAGACCTTTTTGTGTTCCAGTAGCATTTCTATGAACCTCTGCTACATTGTTAGTTTCTTATGAGCTAAAGAAAAGATCATAAGAACACGCAGAGGGTAGCGTGCAAAGGAAAACTTTAACTAAATGAATAGCAAAACATTTTCTGATAGAGTATTTGGGTATTCTGTAGGGTCAACATGTACATGTACAGGTAAAACTTCCCAACTCCTAAGTTACCTAGTCCCTGCATATAGACATTTAATTAGGTTTTCTATAACAAACTTCCAATGGACTGCAATCTTGTTCATAAAATGTCACATCCATGTTTTTTTCTAGGATCTATGTGCAATCTTCCTATATATCCAGGACTTAAAGGTTTCTCTGCAGAATCATTTTTTAATCTAATAATTTCTACATACAATCAAGTCTTGCTGAGTACCATCTAAGCAACAACTGATTATTCTGTCCCCTAAAACTCACTAATTTCTTTGAAGATTGGAACAGCTTAGACTTTTACTCCTCTTTCCCTTGGAGCCCTTTATTCATTTCATCATTTGAAATCCTTTTTCTCTGGGTTGATAATGAGCCCTCTTTGTAAGGCAGTTTTGTGACAGCTCAGAAAATAACTGCTACATAAAAACAAATTGCCCTGGATTGTATAATAGAGACAACAGGGGTCAGTTATACTCATTAATCAACAAAGACAGAACAAGAAGTACTGAGGCTTAACTGCAGACAGGAAAACATGTTTTAACCCTAGAGGGAGGAAGAAAATAGCAGAGGGGAGAAGAAAATAAAAGGAAATAAATCCCTTAGGCTATTAAAATTTGCAACAAGCTCTCATGGGAGGCTGTTGAGCCACAACCATTAGAGTTATTTAAGCCTTTATTAGTGTTTATTCTGAGCAAAATTCTAACTGTCACACATCCAAAAAAGAAGAGGGCAATGACCTATTTTCTTACAATACAAATTAATTGACATAAACCAGCTCCACCTGCAAACACCAAAATGGACAATTCTTTTGAAAACCTATTTGGCAGTAAAACTATTCATGCCCTTTGATATCACAATTTCATTTCTCAGAATTTATCTTATCAAAATGACACTAAATCTCAGTGTTATACAATACTTATAGCATTATGGTAGACAATAATGAAATGAGTAGAGAGAGGAAACAACTTTCCTTCCAACAATAAGACATGATATGAGACTTGTCCAAGTGCATGGATGGAATGCCATGTAGGCATGAAATTACAGCTTGTTGGGACAAAAGTGTGAAGACTTATACAAACTTGTTTTGAATAATTCGAATTATATATAAATATGCAAAGACCAGAAAACAATAATAATGTATTAAAATAATCATTTTGGATTCATGATTACTTTTGTATTCTTCCTCTTTGCATTTCCAAGTTATCAAAAATGATTTTGAAATCATTCCAATGACAAAAGTATTTGATAATAAAGCAACTGTGCTCTGTTCACAAGTTATGCAATGCAGGCTTTGTTTGGCATGCAGATTACATCATGGTACCACCAAACCATCTTCCCTTGAATGTGCAAATAGAATCCTGACTCTACTCAGTTACTGGAGAAAGTGAGCCTGCACCTCAGCCCCAGAAAGTGAATTTTGACCACCCAGAGACAACCACAGTGGCTTCGTGGCTTTTGCCTATGATTTGGACACAGGTAAATAAAATATTTTTTTCTGATAAACACATAGGAGTAAAACTCCTGTACTGGATGGCTAAAAAACAAGATATACAACCATAATAAAGAAGAAGAAGAATCAAAGAATAAGTTTGCCATCTGCCAGACTGGAAAAATGAGAAATATCAGGAAAAAGTCAGCTTCTAAAGGCAGTTGGGAAACAAAACATAGTTTCATGCCTTTTTTGATTAGATTTATAACTCAAAAACTATGGTAAATGCCAACTTCAGAATCTAGGTCATGTGTCAAAATTTTTAAGAATGTGTCCAACCTCTACTCCGGATATTTTTTCATTCATTCAAGAATAATGATCGTGTGCATACTGTCTGTCATGAGAGTCACAAGGGAACAAAACCAACATACTGTCCTCAGAGGACTGAGGTTCAGTGAGAAGAGACAGGAAGTACACCAAAAACATCACAGGTGCTGCAGAGGGGACAGCACACAGGGACAGCTGCACCTGTGAACAGTGAGATCAGGGAGACTCCATGGAAAGGTGAGCAGGGACAAGAGCCATGAGGTAGAGAAAGGAGGAGGAAGGAGGCATCCAACTCTCAGGAGCAAGAGGGTACACCAGCAATGGATCAGAGAGCTTTAGAGCCCCAGAATGGGCTCCAGGATCAGCAACAAGGTCAGTGTGGCTGGAGCAGATAGAGCAAGTGATAGCAGAGAAACAAGTACAGGCAAGCATTTTATACATAAAAGCCACGTGAAACAAAAGGAGCCTCAGGAAATGTCTAAACCGTTTGCCTACACATCCTGGACTTTCCACAGTCATTTACAGTCCCGGGTATTTTGGCACGACACAGTTTAATAAGTTACAAAAGCAATGTCTGAATATATAACATAATATATAAAGCATAAAATAATTGA